ACACCGACCTATGATTAATACAACCTGACCCGATTTTATTCCTAATTCAAGTTCATATAAAAATCATGCATTTAGTTTAGGCTATCTACATGATTGCATATGCCATAGATATTATTCCTAATACCTATTATCCATGTTGTGATTTTGCTGAGTTCTAAACTTATTATAAGTATTCTTATACTACAAGAAGTAACTAAGTATTTAATTGATGGCTAAACAATTAAATAGTACATTTGAAATGCAAAATCAATCAAGAAATACCTAAATTAAAGTCTTAAATTAAAATAAACAAAATATGGTTCCTCAATTATCCAATACAATAGAAAAACCTAGCTAATCATCCTAAATATTGAATTACACAAGAAAATATGGAATAACATCACCCGGATCAAGAAAGAATGGACGAAAGTGGAGAAACATTTCTTGAATGAAATCTTGAAAATGGAGGAGAAATCTTCAATAATCTTGTGAAAATCTGCCTTTTTTAATGAATTGGCCTAGTTCTTCGCCTCCAAAATATGTAGAATATTTGAATTTTAGATTTAGGTAGGTCTCTCCTACATTTTGGATGGATTATGGTATTTAAAGAATACTCAAAAGATTGTTACCAAAATAGAGCTTCAATTGAAAAAGGAAACAAATCTCACCTCGAAGAAGTACTATGCGATCACATAGTACAAATGGAAGCAGCCACATAGAAGAAATCATAGCCAGACCTGGGAGCACTGGAGGCATAGATGCGGCAACATAATTTTGTTTGTCAGACAATTTTTAGTATTTTTGTCATATCTTTCTCTCTCAATATCCGATTGAAGTGATTCAAAATGCTTTGAAAAACTAATTCAAAGGGATACAAATCCTTCAGAACTATCATTTTTCCAATTCAAATATTTGCAACGCCAAAAATGGGTTTCAAACTAAGACTGGAAATTTGAAGCTTAACCTTTTCGGTTGAAAATTGATGTGTAATAATACTTATATTATATTTCATCCATTTGACTTTTTTCTTCATTCAAATGACTCCTAACACTCTCGAATCTTCATCGTGAGGTTTGACACAACTTTTGAAAGTTTGCATTTAGTTCTCGAAATTTGAATTTGCTTCATTTTAACCATTTTCCATTCTTTCTTCCAAATTTTCGTCCAAATATGAATTTTTCCTAATAAAAGCAATAAATAACAAATTAGGTAGTTATCCATCCAAATAATAACAAAATATTATGATTTAGGCCCCCGAATAAGTGTAGAGATATACTTATCAAACTCCCAAACTTGAATCTTTGTTTGTATTCGAACAAAACTAAAACCCAACTATAAAACAGACATCCAAACATGCAAAAATATTTAGCTCATTTATCTTAAATTTAAGCACAATTTTAAGATCATAATATAAAAATCAAAGTCTACTATTTTAATGCAAAACATAAACTTGTATGTGTGAAGAATTAAGCATCGCATCGTGAATTCATGTATGCTTTGAAAAACTAACTCAAAGGGATACAAATCCTTCAGAACTATCATTTTTCCAATTCAAATATTTGCAACGCCAAAAATGGGTCTCAAACTAAGACTGGAAATTTGAAGCTTAACCTTTTCGGTTGAAAATTGATGTGTAATAATACTTAGATTATATTTCATCCATTTGACTTTTTTCTTCATTCAAATGACTCCTAGCACTCTCGAATCTTCATCGTGATGTTTGACACAACTTTTGAAAGTTTGCATTTAGTTCTCGAAATTTGAATTTGCTTCATTTTAACCATTTTCCATTCTTTCTTCCAAATTTTCGTCCAAATATGAATTTTTCCTAATAAAAGCAATAAATAACAAATTAGGTAGTTATCCATCCAAATAATAACAAAATATTATGATTTAGGCCCCCGAATAAGTGTAGAGATATACTTATCAAACTCCCAAACTTGAATCTTTGTTTGTATTCGAACAAAACTAAAACCCAACTATAAAACAGACATCCAAACATGCAAAAATATTTAGCTCATTTATCTTAAATTTAAGCACAATTTTAAGATCATAATATAAAAATCAAAGTCTACTATTTTAATGCAAAACATAAACTTGTATGTGTGAAGAATTAAGCATCGCATCGTGAATTCATGTATGCTTTGAAAAACTAACTCAAAGGGATACAAATCCTTCAGAACTATCATTTTTCCAATTCAAATATTTGCAACGCCAAAAATGGGTCTCAAACTAAGACTGGAAATTTGAAGCTTAACCTTTTCGGTTGAAAATTGATGTGTAATAATACTTAGATTATATTTCATCCATTTGACTTTTTTCTTCATTCAAATGACTCCTAGCACTCTCGAATCTTCATCGTGATGTTTGACACAACTTTTGAAAGTTTGCATTTAGTTCTCGAAATTTGAATTTGCTTCATTTTAACCATTTTCCATTCTTTCTTCCAAATTTTCGTCCAAATATGAATTTTTCCTAATAAAAGCAATAAATAACAAATTAGGTAGTTATCCATCCAAATAATAACAAAATATTATGATTTAGGCCCCCGAATAAGTGTAGAGATATACTTATCAAACTCCCAAACTTGAATCTTTGTTTGTATTCGAACAAAACTAAAACCCAACTATAAAACAGACATCCAAACATGCAAAAATATTTAGCTCATTTATCTTAAATTTAAGCACAATTTTAAGATCATAATATAAAAATCAAAGTCTACTATTTTAATGCAAAACATAAACTTGTATGTGTGAAGAATTAAGCATCGCATCGTGAATTCATGTATGCTTTGAAAAACTAACTCAAAGGGATACAAATCCTTCAGAACTATCATTTTTCCAATTCAAATATTTGCAACGCCAAAAATGGGTCTCAAACTAAGACTGGAAATTTGAAGCTTAACCTTTTCGGTTGAAAATTGATGTGTAATAATACTTAGATTATATTTCATCCATTTGACTTTTTTCTTCATTCAAATGACTCCTAGCACTCTCGAATCTTCATCGTGATTTCTCTCAACCTCCTGCTTAAATGTATATCTATATAACAACTCCACAGCCTATCATATTTGACTACAATTCAAAGGCTTTATTGCAATATTAGCCCTCAAGTCCTCAATCTTTCAATATAATAAATTTCAGTCCTCGATCTCTTTTATTCTTGCAACCCATGTATTCTTTGGTTCAATTCAAGTCCTTCACTTTTCAAAATATGAAATTTGATCTCCAAATTCTTCAATCTTCGATTCATGGTCCGGATCAACCATTGAATTGTTACAACTTGGTCCCCAACTTTTGCATTTCGCCATTTTTTTGCTTCATTCCTTCAATTCCTTTTCCTTCATAAAATTTCACCTATTAAACATAAAAGACAAAAATTTAGTATATAATTTGTCAAAAGAACCATCAAATATTGCTATTTAAGGTACCAAATAAATGTATAAAATACACTTATCATCTACCTAATTTCTTAAAATATGCTAATTGCTTAAAGATTCTATACAACACTGCAAGAGATATAAATGTGGTGTTCTATGTCCCTTTAACAAAACACGAGCTCATTTTACTAACATTCGAGACTCTACATTAAACAGTGCACTTGCACCCTTTTAAATCAAGAATATTTAAGGAGATACGATTTCTCTTCAGATTTGAAACGTGTCTTACTGCATCAAGTGTTCTAACAATTCAATCAAACATCTTTATTCTAACTTGACCAATACCAGCTATCCGACAATGTGTATAGTTATCGCTCATCACAACATCTTTTAAAACTTTTTTCATATATTGAAAACAAATCTAGATTAGAACACATATGAAAAGTGAAACTGTATCAAGAATCCAAGTCTCGTCAAGTTTCGGGTTGTAGTCAGATATGAGTAAAAGCTGTTCATAACTGTTACGATTTTTCTGCAATACTTGCTTCCCCTGAAGTTTCTAATTATTGATTAATAATCAATTTTGCTTTATTCTGCAACATATAATAATCATTTATCAAGTGCTCATTTTTCTTGCAATAATTACAAAATTTAAAGTTAGATTTGACTTGCCCCTTGCAAGACCACCATCAATAATGAGACCATCTCCATGAACCTCAAATGCAACAAGATGTTTCATCTTTTTCTTTGAGTATAGAGAATTATAAACTTCTTCGATGGTAAGAATATCGTGAATCTATAAAATCATATCTCTAAAAGTCATGTATGAAGTAGGCAATGAACACAATAAAATCAATCCCAAATCCTCTTAATCATATTTGACCTCAAAGGTCTCCAAATCAGCTACTATTTCCTTAAAAAGTTGCTAAATGATCCTTAAGAAATGTAAGACGTTGCTTCAAATGCAATTTGCTAGTAAGATTTTTCGTCATGCATAATTGCTCTAATTTTAATCATAATGCAGCGGTCGTCTTCTCCTTCAAAACAATTCGAAGAATATTATTTGAAAGATGAAGATGTATTTGAAATAGGGCATTTCGTTCTCTCCGTTGTTTCTCTTTCGGAGTCCAAGCTTGGGTATCTTATCAAAATCCAACAGTCGTCCAAATCCATCTAAGAGAATCTTATATTGCGATCTAATAGCGAAATATCATACTTTATAGTTGTCATTATGAAAGATGTTAGGCTCTTGATAAAAAAACTTGATCTTTCCAAGGATTGTAAAATCAAAAGCTCTGATACCAATTTGTTATATAGAAAATTGTAACCGGATTCATTCAATACCAATTCGTTGAAAAAATATGAGATTATAAGCACATTATGAAATAAAGATCACAAAAAGGCAAGAATAATGTAATTTGCAGAAAATTGAGATTTGATTATAATATAAAAAAAGAATACAGAGATTTACAATTTTTTTAACTTCTAATGACGTTAAATGACTTTAACTAAATTGTCGAGAAGAGCTGAATATATATAGGAAATAAATAGGGGATGTCCAAATGAAATTGTAACAACTTTTCTCCTCGGTCTATAATTTGACCTCTTCAAGTCTAACACAAATTATAACTCCCAATTGGACTTTCAACTAAAATTTGTCAAATAGACTTCGAATAGGATTTCAAATAACATTCCAAATAGAATTCAGGTCACACCATAATTCTTACAGATACAAAGTTGAAGTTGGTTTAAATACACAAACAAACAACAAAATCATACAACACATATATATATATAATAAGTAATTCTTGAAATCCAAATCAATATCAAGGGGAAAACCCTTAATTTTTAATTTTTGAAAAGTTCCAAACAATGTTCTTGGTCCAGGTTCCTGCCCCAGAATTTCTTGTAATATTCTGCATATGTGTAGTCTCTATAAATGGCTGGTGATCCATCAATTGTGAGTTCCTTTGGTGCACTGATTACTGCATCATTGCTTGGACATAAAAATGAAGCTACTGAAATTCTTGCTTTATCAGCATTCACTACAGCTCTATGCCAAACACTTGTGTATTTGCCATTACTCAGTGCCTGCATGCATATATAATCAAGATTGAGTTTGATACATTATGAGATATTAATCAATTTTCAATGAACTCGACTCGTCTACGACGTACCTGCAATTGATCACCAATGTTGATAATAAGAGCATTTTGGAGGGGTTTCACTGCAAGCCATTTGCCATCCTTGAGAACTTGCAGGCCTGCAACTTGTGTGTCTTGAAGTAAAATAGTGAGAGCATTTGGGTCAGCATGAGCCGGAAGACCATAAGTTAACTCCGGCTCTGGACATGGTGGATAATAGTTAATGGCCATATGCTGTCCTTGTTCTCCCAAAATGTTCTTTATGCAATCTTTTTCCAAGCCTAAACTCTTCGATATGTCCTGCTGCAATCTCGCCCCAAGGTTTCGAATTTCGGTGCAGTATTTGCTTACAATTTCCCTTCCAATGCCAAGATTCAAAAATAATAATGAAAGGGACAAATATTTTTCACCCTGGGCATTTTTAGGATATAATTTAAATAAATAAGTTTGTTTATATTTAAATAGTTTAAGGGTCCGTTTGATAGTACTTTTGAAGATTAAGAAGTTTTTTTTTTTTTTTTTTTTTTAAAAACTTTTTTTAATTTAAGAAGTTTTTTTTTTTTTTTTTTTTTTAAAACGCTTTGATAACTTTCTACAAGTGCTTTATATGCCTAAAAGAGTTTTCAGAGGAAGTTGACATAAAGAATTTCTTTAGCAAGTTCCTCTACAAGAATATTGTAAAAACAAGTTCTGCCAAATAGATCCAAAACTTTATAATAAGATAATTCAATGTAGTTAGTATCAGAGTAGATGAAAATTGCATAACAATAGTAAACACTAATACTATATAGTCTCTATATATCTTTGTCGAGTGAGAAACGAGCTACGACTTAGATGCCCTATATGGTATAACTAAAAAAATCTTATTAAAAGTTAAGTCAATGTCAACAATTAATTTTAATAATACATTTTATAGGATTACAATTGCTCAACTGTACATTCTATCGACTTTTATAAAAAAAGTTGACTATAAATCACATAAAAATTATGATGAACTATCACATTCATAGTGAGTAGAAATTGAAGCAAAGAAATTATGGAGTATTACGCGTGAGATATATTTTATGTAATAATCTTTTTATTTAATCGACACATTCAAATAATTATAATAGATTTGACATAGTGTCGACGCGCTTTGAACGATTGAAAATTTAATTAAGACAATAATTTCAACGATGTCGACATGATTTAAACATTAAAAAATGTTGATGGATGGGTCAATTTCCACTGTCCGCCGGAATCTAGAAGTGCTGATGTGGACCCCCATAAGCACTCGCCGTATTCTTTGAAAATCAATTTTAGTTACGTGAATAATTAGCATTACTTATTTGATGAAATTTCAATACGAGCATACGTGTCAAAAGCAGGACGAAAGACTCAAAGATTCTGACATCATCCACTGACAAAAATGATGACGTCATTACAAATTAACCGCACGCAACGGCGGGAAGAAGACAGACCAAATTCACATGCTACCTAAGTGGCAAGAGCCGTGGATCTACAAATACCGTTCACACATTTCTTTATGGCAATAAATATTTTAATGGTTCCTTTCCCATGCTACCCAAGAGCCGTGGATCTACAAATATGTCCTTTTATTGTCTCAAGAGTTCAAAAATTATATATCTCTATTTTCACATAAATTAAAAAAAATTAATTAATATAATTAAAATATAAAATTTTCTTATTTCTTTTACAATCAGTGCTAGAAGATTAGTCTAGATTGTCACACTTGGCAAATTTAATTTGTGAAATTTGTTTGAATTAATCTATCATTTAATATGTTGCAGTTGTCATCAGATTATTCTAGAGACTAGCGATGTTAAATAATATTACCTATTTTATTAATGATAAGGCACGTTAAATATGAATATATTAGAAAATTAAGAAATTAACTAAATTCTCAACAAATAAAGTGACATAAATTGGAACAAACAAAAAAGAAAAGCAAACATATCTTTATGAGATAAATGGAATATTATTTTCTAGCCTCCTATTTGATTTAGTTTAAAAAAAGAAAAATTAAAGTCAGCAATAAATTTTAATTACACATGTTATGAAATCTATTTTTTATCAAATTTTAAATCACGTATTTTATCAACTTTTATCAAAATGCACTAAAGGTACGAAACAGGAAGTGGCATGAGCTTTGCTCTAGATTGAGTGACTAACAATAACTTTGGCCGTCCATTTTTTTAACATTTTATGACGTCATATCTTTCTAAAAATACTATAATAATAAAATATGAGAAGAAGTAAAACACGTCATTAATACTTGAGACACGCCACTATCAACTATTTCAAATAAAATGACAACGGTGGTCCTAAAGTCCAACGTCAAATATGTTATACAATTCTTTAATTGTAATTGGAGCACAAAATTCCCGTACTACCTTTGTTTGGGAGTAGCACGTGGCAGTTAATGTTCAAATATGACACTGTTTTCTTCCTAAACAGGTTTTACCAATATCAATAAAATTGCCACTTCATTACATTTCCAATTCTATCGTCCTTCACGGCATAATTTTTGTAAAGCTGTCCATAAGATTTATCTTCAAAAAGGGCAAAAATGAACACAATTTCGACTTTTTATTTCATGAATTGCAAAAATAAATAATGAATGTCTAGTTGTAATTATATTTTCTAATGGGTCCAAAATCACTAGTTGTTTTGTACTTTGATATTCTTGACACGATTTTTAAAATATACTAACATGATTATCGTACACTACCTCACTCAATAACACGTGATGATGTACTTGTTTGTTGCATGAAACAATTGCGTAAAATCATGCATCTCGTGAAAAATCAATGTAAATCAATAACCTATGTTTTCTTAGCCATTGATTAATCAGCATAAATGCTAAAAACTACTCTCTCTCCATTCTATTTATATATGCTGATTTTATTTTTCACACGAATTAAAAAATTTTATTTAATATTATTAAAAAAATAAATTTTGCCAAACATTTTCCTAATCTACCCTTATTTATATTTGTACAATTTCAATATTAAGTGAAGAAAATTAGTTATAATTAGACAAATTAAATAAAGGTAAGACTATATAATTGAGACAAGAAAATAAGGAAAATCAATACATATAAATGGGCTGGAGGGAGTAATATTTTAAGAGGAGTTTTCATATTAGGTTTTGGAAATGTAATCAAGAATTTTCTTAGAAAAATCCATTTCTTCCTGGAATTCAAAGAGTTTTTCTGTGGGAAGGACGGAAAAAAATAGATAATAATAAAAATAATGTTCTTACTTGAAAGTGGATGGATTTGAAGGCCATTCAGATGCATATTTCTCCAAAGGATAACAATGGAGTCTAAGATAATCTCTCCAATTATGCACAGTCTCCTTCTTCACATTAGAACTTGTGGACAATCTCACAGTCTTGAAAGGGTCTTCTGAATATAATTTCATTTTTTCTTCCAATGGTAAATGGAAAAATTCATCGGCCACCTTCAGCATTTTCTCCATTATTTCTTCTGGTACTCCATGATTTGTCACCTGATAATACAGATGCAAAATAAGCAATTATTATTTTAATAATTGTTAATGGTAAAAGAAAACGTCGCTTTTAAATACGGGTTGTACCTGAAATAAACCATAATCGCGGCAGGCATCTCCAATTTGTTGGATTATTGAGGATTCATCTTCACAGCCTAAATCAATCATCGGAACTGTTTCCCAGTCGGCAACCTCTGACAGTTTTGGCTGTTCCAGTGCCGGCCGGACATAACTCTTTGGAAGAGTTGAGTATTTGATTCCATTGGAGACTATTTTTGTATCTAACAGCATATTGAACTAAACTTTTGAGAATGCATTTGTAAGAAGAAAAATGGATAGTGGGAGAAGATGGGATTGCATATTTATGGCTGAGTGTGGGTTGGACTTGACTTGGTTTTGGTCTTTCTTTATTTAGCCCTTGTTTAGGGTGTAGAAAATCTTTAATAAATTTTAATAAAAGTTGATAAAATGTATGATTGAGAAATTGTGAATACCATAAAACATGTGTTTCAAATTAATTGTTGACTTTGAGTTGAGAATTTAATTTCCATCAAATAAGGGCTTAGTCTAATATAAATAATTTCAATTTCAATTTCAATTTTGTTCTTGAACCCCTTTTTGGTTAGCTAAAAAAAGGATAAAAATTGAAGTTGAAGTCAACCATTAATTGGAATGATACATTTTATGAGATCCATAAATTTTACCTACTATTCAAGAACACATTTCACAAAAATCTATTAAAAATATGATTGTTAACAAGCTAAATATGGGCTGATTAATTCCGTTAAATTTCTTCGTTTGTACAATGTGACGAATTGGAGACGCAAAAAAACATAACTTAAAACTTTATCACACAACTTGCTGTTCAATTGTACAATAGTCTTGATCTCCCGTCCTCGATGGTCGAGAGAAACTTTCACACCTCTGATATGACAGGAGAACTTTAGTCATAATTCCTTTAATTTATGACTAATTCAGAAAACTATAACTATAGATTCTTTTGTCATGTCAGTAGTGAAAAAAAATTATCTTGTTCACTGGGTAGGTGTTATATTGCCATTTGAGTTAAAAAGAAACGTATAGAAGTGTTTATGTAACATGTGAAATGGGAAAAGGACAATAATTATTTGATAAAACCATCACCATCTTGGTAGCAATTTTTAAACTCCCACCAAGACGCGGGTTTGGCCAAGACCCTACCATGGATTAAATAGTGTTTAATTAAATTTTTTTGGTTGAAAAAAAGTTCACCTAAAGAAAATAGAGAAAACCTTTAAGTTAAATTTATATGTTTGTAATAGCTCATTTTTATATGTTTTAAAAGGTAAATTGTTCCAAAAAAAATGATGCATGAACTGTTCTATGACTCCAAAGATAAATTGTACAAGCCACTTGACATCCATGGTATGTATTTCATCATTAATATGTATGTGGTGTACTAAAATTATATATTTCATTTTGTTATCTCAACATGATATAATATTAACTAACGCCGCTAGATTTTTCAGAAATATGAAAGGAAATACAGCTTAAAATATTGAAGCATACGATGACGAAATTTCCTAAAAGGAGAGAAATATGAAGAATGTTTGGTCCGTCTCAAAATGTAGGTGTGAAAATTATCGAGAAAATGTTACAAATAAATTACACCGAATTCCGGGAAAAAAAAAAAAAGGAATTGCATATTAATATTATCGTAAAGCCCTCTATTTCCTAGCACTACGTGGATTATTTGCGAAGAAAGAAATTTGGAGAAATGACAAGCCAGTGGTCCGTCTCAATTATGTAGAAGCATATAGAACTTGTTAAAAGTATATTTAACTAGACTTTTCTAGTAGAAGATACACAATTAAATTCAAAAGAAAATAAATTAAAATCAAGTACAATATATATGGATGCTTTAAAAGAAATCCACGAATGCAGGATTTATGGTCAATATATAATATTAGATTGCAGGATTTATGGTCAATATTGAAGATGCAATGGGCTTAACGACTCTGCTCTTGATGTTTAAAATCTTTGACGTTACTAAAGATAACATAATCGGAAGCCATTTTTCTATTAAAAGAGATGGGCATTCATTATAAAATTATTCTAGTTCTACAATTAGGGTTGACAACTTCAACTGACAACGTATTCTCAGAAAGGGAATTTACGATATTTTTATTTAGCGTGAACCCCTTATTATGTGTGCGATTGTCAATCCCAATTGTATATGTACCATAACTGTTCAATGTAACTGGAAAACAAAATCCTACTTGAATATAGTAGTTTTTGCTACAAAGACACTAAGACAAGGAAATAAATTTTCTGATCATCCTGTCAATATGGGAGAGATCCAAAGAAAAAATTCAAAAAATCCACCGAATTGAAGAGTTTCTTTAGGAGCCAGAAAGTGATTTTTTTTTTCCCTTCCCAATTACCAACAACAGAAACGACATTCTTTTCTCTCTAGAATAATCAAAAGGTATAAAGCTGTTACAAATTTTTAATAAACTAAATGCTAGTCAGATTCCATTATTGGAAGTTGACCCTATACTAGAACAATTCTAATATAAAATTAAAATAAAAGGACTTTACACCCTCAGGACATGATATTTGATTATTTGAATGTTACGTATTGCCAACTTTGTTGTTTTTTTGCTATTACATATGAGAGTATGACATTTTTCTTTTTTCATTTTTTTTAATTTAAAGATTGTACAAGACGTAAAATTTAAAAAATGAAAATTTAAGAAAATAAATATCCCTGCAACATAAAAATAATACCATAATTTTTCATCATCTTTTGGAACTAAGCTCATGTTTTACCTCCATTTTTTAAAATTCATTTTTCATCAACCTTATTTTCAATCATATATTTTAAAGTAAAATTGTAGAAACATTCCAAGCCTTTCAATTTGTTACAAGCTATACACTAATCTTTTTATTTTTGCAACCGCAATCTTAAACCTTTTACTTTAAATGCAGCTGAGGTTCATTGGACAGAATTCGTTCATCAATTCGTTAATCAACCCAAAAATTAATACAATTTGACAAATTAAGTAATGGGTAAACTAGTAAATTAACATTTTCTGTAATAGAAAAATTCAAATAACTAAATCAAAAAAGAAAAAGAACTTCGTCTTCCCCAAACACCCCACCCTCACCCGAGAACCAGATGGGGATAAATTTCATTAACATTAGAATAGCCCCCTCTTTGAGACCCATTTTTGTGAAGTGATAAACTCCGAGCGCTCGCAATTGCCAAACGAAGATTGTTGTTGGTTTATGTGTGAAGAGGGAAGAATTTTTATGGTTCTTCTTTGCTTCTACTTTCTGGGATTCCAAGTAAAGGGTTGTTTGCTTCCAAAAATGAAGAAGTCATTGGGTAAATATAAGGGGCAACCACCCTTGGAGAAATCCCCAATTTCTCTCAACTCTAATTCTTTGATTCTGAATTAAGAGTCCGTTTGATTACAAAGATGGAATTGAATTGCCTAGAAATTATTATTTTTTAGAATTGTAAATTATTGTGTTTGATTGGTATAATTTTTCACGTGAAAAATGTTATAATGAAAGTATTTTTTTTTGTTCGTTTAGCTTTATTTTACATGAAAATGTCAATTAAAGGAATAAAATTTACTAGAATTACGGATAAAATTTGTTTTCATTGTAAAAAAAAAAAAACGAAAAAAACTGCTACAGTCATCGTTAATTCCAATTCTCACCATTTTGGTGAGAATTCCAATTCCTTGAATTGGTGGAGTTTGGCTTATGTCGCACTCAAGTTCGAAATTCAATTCTAAGCTAAAAAAATGCTATCAAACAAGGTTAAATTAAAAGAATTCCAATTCCATTTCCCATGGAATTCCACCTCCAATCAAACACAGACTAATGGTTTTGTTGATGAAGCAGAAGCTCTAATTTACACTGCCTCACATTTCCTTTTTGGTCCATTATCAACGCTCTTCAATGGTCGTAGCTATTTCCACAGTGGTGAGCATTGCTAAAATTCTGGAAAATAATTCCTGCGATTACAGTAGTTAAATCGATGGGTGGTTTGTGGTGGCGAATTGCTGACGTCGACGACCGTGACTAGGTTTCCTGATTTTGGTTTTAGGTGTGGATGGGGATGGGAAAGTTTGGGGAAGATGAACAATACTTCTTTTTTCTTTTCAAATTTTTTTTTTTTTCATTTTCATTTTTTTTTGATTTAATTTTTTTAATTGCTTTATTATTAAATATTGTAAACATATCATTTTAGTATGCCAATATGAGTGAAAATTTCAATTTCAGTGTTAACTAATGGAACTCTAAACAGAATTTGTTCTATGAACTCCGATTACCATTGAAGTGAATGGTTTGAAATTGCAACTGCAAAAATGAAAGATTAAGGTGTATTCTTCAATAAAATAAAAGATTAGGGACCTCCGTTACAATTTTTTCTGTATTTGAATAAAATTTACTACTTCTATCAATTTTTTAACCACAGTTTTCAACGTTTATAAAAATATTTTATAAATTTGATTTTTAGCTAAATCAAACAAGGCTTTTAAAAAATGTGTGATTGAAAAGAAGCGAGAGAGAAATGTAATTGAAAAATAATAGAAATCGAACAAGGCTAAATGAAAAATTATATATATATATATATATATATATATATATATATATATATATATATATATATATATATATATATATATATATATATATATATATATATATATATATATATATATATATATATATATATATATATATATATATATATATATATATAATTTTTCATTTAGCCTTGTTCGATTTCTATTATTTTTCAATTACATTTCTCTCTCGCTTCTTTTCAATCACACATTTTTTAATAAAATAATATTATATGTAATTTTTTTTTTAATAACACATTATTCACCAATCTACTATTTCAAAATGCATAACATTTTAATGGGCTCAAACCATCTCTTAATTTAGTTATTAATAATCGTTACTAAATTATTGTTAGTTTATATTTGTGTTCAATAGATTTGATCCATTTTTTCAATGAACTAAGAATACAAAATCAATCCTATTTATTAATAACTTTAAACAAACAGCTTACTATCAACTGTATTTAAAATTCAAATTTTTTTAGAAATAAATTACCTTTCAATACAATGTTTATAACGTTGTTTACTTTTAGTGTGAATCCGAATTGAGAAAAAACAATAATAGGAAAGTCTCCGTTTTGTACCCACATGCCGTTAAGCCGATCGGAGGGCGCCACATCTTGATTTCTCCACAGACCAAGTGCGTTTTCTAGCGCCGACGAAAACGGACAACCTAACAACGCGTTTTAGAAGATTGAAGTCGTTTTGGTCTTATTCCTTAATTGACCGTC